ACCTACACAACACAGATCTGAGCCTCAGATAAAGCTAGATGGAAAAATTAATCTAAACACACCCTTGAAAATAAAGAACCACAGGCAGCTCTCAGGAATCAAAGAATCAATCAGCCTAATCGGCTTCTGGGAAAGGTGGAAATAAATCAAAACCCTAAGAACTGGCCACGCAAAATGGATCATTCTGGAAACCCCATTTTAAAAGTCTCGACCAAACGTTCCCATATACAGTAGCATTAGAACAAAGCCACATACAGTATGGGAAAAACTAAAAATAACTGGAACTGGCTATAAACGCCGACGAAAACCCCTTAGACTCCCCCGTCCCAGAGCAGGAGCTACTGGACAAACTCCAGGCCCTCAGACCACGCAAAGCCTGTGGCCAAGATGGAGTCAACAACGAGACGCTGAGATACAGCAGCTCAGAGCTGCAGCCAGCCCTGCTGAAACTTCAGCCTCATGCTGAGGGCTGGGTGTCTCCCTGAGAGAGTCAAGAGCACACACAAGGCCCTCCATCCATGTGTGTGTGGAGACAGACTGAGGTGGGGAAGGTTTTCTACAGTATCACAAATTCTCAGACACTGGCTTTCCCTACTGAGCACCATGTCAGATCGGCTTCCTACCAAACCACCACACATCCAACCACATTTCCACCCTACACACACTTATGGACAAACATATCCATCAAAAGGCAACGGAAGACTATTTGCCTGCTTTATTGATTTCAATAAAAGCATTTGACTCAATTCTGGCACAAAAGACTGTTTTACAAACTTCTTCAAAGTGGCGTAGGAGATAAAGTCTGTGATGTAATTGACTCAATGTACTTAGAGAACAAGTGTGCAATGAAAATTGGAAACAAAAGGACAGAATTCTTTCTTCAGGTCTTGGTTGAGACAGGGCTGCAGCCTGAGACCAGCACTGTTCAATATCTTTAATACTGAGCTTGCAACGGGGAAGCAGAATTCACTAAGCATTGGACTGCTTACACACTAACAGGAAACCTGGACTGGGTTTAGACTGTCATGAGACAGGTTAGTTAGTGGTGTATATGCTGAGGTCTCTAAGTCGTAATCCCAGCCAAAAGGTGAGCTCCTGACCAACACTGATCAATATCTCTATCAATGAGCTAACAGAGCTGTGGGAACAGTCTGAGCTCCTGATCAACACTGATCAATATCTCTATCAATGAGCT